GAGAATGAGAATGAGGAGCATCCATGCAGGAGAGACACATCGACTGGTTGCCCCCCGAGCATGGAGATTGAACCAGAGATGCTTCAGTGCCTGGGCAGATGCTCTAACCACTGAGCAAAACCACCCAGGGTTTTTGTGGTTTTGTTTTGTACTTTGAGGTAAAATTTATATGCTATGATATGCACAAATCTTAAGCATATCATTTGGTGAATTCTGACAAATGCATACACCTGTATAACCAAATACCTATCAAGATACAGATTATTACCAATACCCCAGGAAGTTTCCTCTTCTCCCTTCCCAACAATCCCACCTTTACCCAGTATATACAGAAGGATATGGTCTGATGCTTCCACATCATCTGGTGAGGTGGGACTGAAATTTTTATAACACTTCCCAAATAGGATAACTTAGGCCACAGACAGACTATTTTTCTTAGATGATTTGAACATGATATAAAACAAAAAGTCAGATCCCGAACATTTTCATGCTTTTCCCACTTGACTATATCTCAAAATTTCATTTCAAAACTTCTGACTTAAATTAAAACTTCCAAATTAAACTTCTGACTGTTTCCAAGCAAATAGGCAACTTTTTTCATAAGCTTTTATCAAGACAAACCTACAGGAATAGCTACTATAGAGGAAAAGAATCATAAATGCATTTTTAAAAATACTTCACATGGGAAATGCAATTAAGTTTAATTACACTGAATGCTAATATTCCCCCTATAATAATAAAAACAAATGTTTGAAATCTACTCTAATGAAAGGAAAAGCCCTAGTATGTTACACAGCTAAAAATACACTTGGGGTGGAGGGAGGCAAAGGTGGGCAAAATGGGGGACATCTGTAATAGAGTCAACAATAAAAAAATAGTTATACATGAATTTTTGTTATTACTTTAAATCTAATGCAGCCCAGATTTCAAAAATTAATGATTCTATTAATTCTACTATTTTCTACTCAGGCAAACAAAGGCAGTAATGTTACAAGGATATTCGTAGGATATCTGAAAACTACCAATAAACAGCATCTTTTTTCTTATTTGTTTAATAACTGCTGTCACTCTCTTTGTAAGCAGCAATCACAAGATGTCAAACAAATTCTGCCTTGACTGTGGGTACTGATAGATGTCTCTGCTTGTTTTTATTAAAAACAAAAAAATTTCCCTGCATTAATTACCAACACAGGAGAAGCGGCGGCACTGCTGGGATGTTCACCAGCCTCTGGGCAAGCAGAGATGCAGCACAGAAAACCACGGAGCAAACTGGAATACTGAATACCGGAACACATTTTTCTTTAACCCCCTTGGGGGCCCAGGGACTCAAAGTCTTAGATTCCCTTAAAGGGAAAAGCAGGAGCATGCATGGGGGCAGGGTGGGATCATGTTTATCAGTCACAACAGTTCATCTGGGCCTGGATCCAGGTAGTCTGCATGTCTAAATTTGATGAAATATAGGCGCCACCAGGTAACAGTAGTGGTCAGGGAGCTTGCCAGAAACCTGTAACTCAAAACTGAAAAATGAAATTAAAAGACCACTTTGGTCAGGCAATTTCTTTCTTCAGGATGCAATAACTGCAAACTACAAAGTTGAAAGAACAGACAATTCTTTGTATGTTTTAAAACTTCTTCCTAATGTGACACAATATCTGGGCCAGAAAAATATACACAAATAGTTTCAAACTTGAATTTCCATATGAACTGTAAAGTTTTGGTAGAACTTCCCCTCCTCTTTCTTCTTTCTTCTTTCACTTCTCCACATTCTGCACGGGGGTTTGCCTATGGCAGGGAGTGGAGGCCGGCTGAGGTCTTGGGTGTATCCGGAGGGCAGGTACCAGGGCCAGCGGTGGAGGAGCAGACGCCTGACCCTGTCCTGTCAATAAACCTTAACCCCGACCTGCCAGGCCCCTGAGCTGGCTATTCTCTGTCTAGCCTCTTCTCTAATTGCCCTAAAAATGACTCTTCATTTATAAGTACCTTTGTGTAAACACCCCACAGGAACTGACAGTCATCAGAATTACCACACAGTTCTAGTTTTTAAGGAGAGCAAGAAAAGTCTTTCATTGTGGTAGGACTCTGAAAACAATTTCAACTGCTGTGCACAACAATACTTATCACTCTTCTTAGCTTACTCTGCAGGTGACATTAATTTGACTTTTAAGACTGTTTCCAGTGAAATGTTAGATCTTTTGATTTGGTTGCTTGAAAGTAAAGGTGGAGAAGTGATTTTCCCCACAGAAGCAGCCTGTTTCTCTTACTTCTGAGCGACCCAGAGGTAAAGCTAAAGTCCTGTGCTTCCTCATCTATAGCACGAGGCTTCCCTATAAACTCTAAAAGGCCGAACACTTTTTACCTAACTATGAAAATCCAAACAAACAAAAAATTAAAATGGGAAGTAAGGAGACAAGAAAAGTTTTGGAATAAAGTTCTTTTTTAAAAAAAATTAAATCAGCCTTGTAGAAAACACAAACTTCTTTTTACTGGTTTGTGACTTAATTTTTTTCCTTTTTCTTTATAGTAGTAAAAAATTTATAACACATGATTTACTTAGGACTTCTTGGAAGCAATTCCCTAAACTATTATTTCTCTTTTACTGACAAGATGGGAAAGCCAGTTATTGCCAATTTTATAAAAGAAAACCAATTTTGAATTTTGCAAATCACAAGCTCTCTTCTGATTGGGTGCAGATGAAAGTCTGCTATTTAAAATATGGCTTATTTAAATAGCTCAAATTAAATAAACGATTACCTGTAGTGATTCACTACTAAGTCCTCACAAAATAAAAGAAAGCCCCCTCTTCCATTTTCCATAGAACTTATCACCTTCCAAAGTAGTCTGTGATTAACTCATTACATTTGTTTATTCCTTAGCAATGCAGGCTTTTGGAGAGCAGGGAATTTTGTCTGTTTCGGTCATTGATGTACTCCAAAAGGCTGGAACAGTGTCTGGCACATAGCAAACTCTCAATAAATAGCCTTAGAATTAATGAATAAAAAGTTGAAAAAATTAAGGAAACACTCTTAAATAAAGTAAGGGTATTTGTTTTGTTTCTACTTATCGACTGTGCCCTATATTTCGGTATAATAAGCTATCTTATTGTGGGCAGGAAAGAATATTACAGAATACTTTTTAAAAATTTAATCAACTACCCAAGAGCTTTTTTCCTCCTCCACATCACCAGTTAAAATGCAAGAAGGAAGAGCTTTGATATTTCAGAGTTGAAGGAGATCTTAGAAACCATTTAAACTGAGGTCTGTGCCTTCAGAAATCTTCAAGGACCTTGTTGAACATGCAGACCCCCAGGCCCCGCTCCACACCTACTGATTCACAATACCTATGTTGTCCAGAAGGGAAAAAGGATACAGTGTTTAACCCAAGGTTATAATACAGCACTAGAGGTGTGATCAGGATGCTGCTGGAACAGGACGTGGTGCATATAAATCAAAGTGTACTTGAGCTGAATTCTAAAGTTTGAGCAGAAATGCACTTAGATGAATATCAGTGGAGGTATATGCATTTCACACATAGTCTCTGTATGATGTACAGGTGCTATGGCTTGAGGGATGAGTGCTGATTACAAGATTAGAGATGCAGTCTCCAGGTCAAAATATGAAAAGCTTTGTGTTTAAAATAAGCTTAAATCTTTATCTTAAAGACAGGAGGAAGACATTGAAGATTTGGGCAAAGAAAAGTCATGATCATATTTACATTTTAGAAATTTAATTTTAAGTTGAATTTCTAAAGAATGGGGTGGATTAGAGGCAGGAAGGTAAAGGAAAAGGCTATTGTAGTATAGAAGGG